CCCCAAAACCCCAAAACCCCAAAACCCCATAATTATAAAATTACTTATCAAAAATAGAAATAAGTTATTTTAAATTTAAACGTAAAATGAATTAAGCTAATAAAGAGAACAGAGGCTAGCGATAAAGACAAAGAGGTATCATAAAAGATGATAACTAAAGGAAAAACAAATCTGCATGTTGTGGATGTTTTGGTTTCCTTAAGAAATAAAATAAACGCGCTATCATGATAGAATAAGAGGAAAGACATGATGGAAGACAAGCAAACTAGAATTAGCAGCAGCGATAAAATAGAGAACTGATTAGAAGAGTTAACGATAATTAGTTTGAAAGATAAAATAGCAATGATAGAAGAAATTCTCAATAGTAGCAAGAAAGAGCTGGGCCTTAATAACCCTAACTGCATGCTTAGCAATAGCAGAAGAAACCTAAGAGGAAAATACCGATAGGTAGATTTATTAAGTCTGATTTCGTTGGAAAGGACAAATGCTCTCTTGTGAAAGTAAGATTTAATTAAGTTTCAATTCATAAAGCATGTTGATATGAGGCCTACAGACAAAGTTCAAAGGAAGATTTTTAAGTATTTGTGCCCGATCTGTTTCAGATACTTTAATGAAATGTTGAACTGTATAGCTTGCAAAAATTATGTCTGTCTTCCCTGCTCAAGAGACCTAATTAAGTAAGAATTAAGGAGAACAAAGACACTAGTACCACCACCCGAAAATATTTGTATTACTTGTCCGCATTGCATGAAATCCTCGACTGACGATAACCCTATTCTGTTTGAAGATATAGATAAAACTAAACCACTCAAGCTTTATACAGATTCACCTACTGGAACAATTGTCTTAACTCATGATATCGGCATACAAGAAGAGTTAAAAATAAGCATGACTAAATTTAACATTGGCAAAGATGTTCAAGGCTTGAGTTTCAATAAAAATAGTACCCAGAAGAAATAAGGCATAATGATCAAGCTACCTTAATCAATTAGTGGTTCTAATTAGTTTGGACACTAGGCAAATCAGCAAAGTTGCAAATGTAAGTTCTTATTGTTTGAATTAATTATGAATATAGCTTTGGTCGGATAGTTTGTAAATAAAGCTCATTTGGAAGTATTAAAGTCTCAAGATATTGAGGACCAACTCTATGCGCGGAAATTAGTAGATATTCTTTGCTTCTCACCCAGAAATACCAAGAAACTTGACCATCAAATTTTGAATCACGATTAGAATTACTTGTATTACAACTATCAGAGTATAGGGAAAGACTTGCCTGCAGAGAAAAACAAAGTTGAACAGTTTAGAATGTCTATGGATTCTGGATAACTTAGAAGCACAAGAAAAATTCAACCCCAAATGAATACAATGTTTAAAGAGCATTTTTGGAGCCTTGAGTTTCTTCAATAACTAGGTCAACAAAATGGAAGAATAGGAATGTAAAACTCTATTAAGAGTCGGAGAAATTAACAATCTTTCCAAAGTAAAACTTTCGAGGATCTTGCATAATCCTAGCCAAAATCAATCTTTAATGATGATGTAATATAGTAGCCAATTACATATATGAATGGATTTCCACAAAGACTAATGATGTCCCCTGGTCGTCATAGCAATATGCTTTCAGTAGCAAAGCCACCCTTACATTAAAATTCTGCTTAGAGGAGAAATAGGTTGACTGTGAAAAATCAGGATAGATCAAATTTAGATATAAAAGACTAATAGTCAAATATGAAACATAGCATAGGATCGTAGAGCAATTTTTAGATGGAGTTTTATAGAAATAGTGTTGGTGGATTCAACGTTGTGAGTTCTCCAAAAGTAATAGTACTTTCAAACAGAGATGGCGAATCAATATTCAATTCTAATAGCAAGACGTTTAATAATAGGGATGATCTTGATAGTAGTGAAGAGGATGATGAGGACTTAGAAAGGAATCATGACGACAATGATTTTTAGATAACCTAAGCTAAAGATAACCACTTTAAGCCAAAATCAAGTCCACCTAGATTCTAGCAAGCTGAAGGGGATAAATATAAATCACCCTTCAAAATGATAAATCCAAATGAAATTTCTTTATCTAAGTATGATCAAATTATACCAACTTCTTAAAATCCATTTCAGTTACTAACTAATGGAGTAGTAAAGATTGGTGAATACCTATAGAACTAAAAGTAAAAACCCTTCCAAGATAGTTAGGAGGAATCTAAGGATTACACAAATCAAGACCCAGAATTCATAGAATTCTCTGATACATATCTATAAGTTTCAGTAAACTATGTAGGAGAAGTTAACGGTCCTTAAACTAATGAACCATTAAGTCAGTTTAAAAGTGGGAGAGACTCTTTGATTTACTCAGACTGTGATCTTAACGACGAGGAAGATCATTTAGGGGCTTCATTGACACATAGGATTCAAGAGGGTGTAAGACTAAATGAAAAGAGAAACTAGATATTTTCTCATGATAACTCTCCTAAAAGCCATTTGTGAAAGGAAGATTCTATAAATAAAGAACCTCCTGGATCTGGTGATAGAATGACGGATGACAAAGACCCTTTAACAGTAAGCAATGGAATTTCAATGTATGGTTCAGATTACATGATCCCTAGTAAGAGAGGAGACTAAAGACCAGCTAAGTAAAATAGAACAGCTAATAACTTCATTTAATATGTGCAAACATAAAGCAATGATAATCAGTTTGATTTGATGTTCCCACTAAGAAATGATATAGATCATAGCAAAAATAAGCTTCTCTATGGAGGTGGGATGAACGATGAAGTTTTCAGTGAAAAGCAAAGCCAACTTAGCAAAGATTTCACCAATTAGATAGCAATCAAGAAGGATATAAGTGACAATGAAGAAAGCTATTTTGATCCATATACAGCCAAAATTAACAATCATCATTGATAAATTAGTCATAATTTTTTCGAATAAAACGCACTATATTTGAGAAGCTGGGGTTTTGGGGTTTTGGGGTTTTGGGG